AGTGAAACAGCAGCTTAGCCAGTGACCCCTGCTGTTCGCATCAGACAATGGAGCGCTCTTTCGTCCCGGACACACCGCGGCCGGGACACATCACCCCCTGTGAATGGCCTTTGGTGTTTGCTGTTTCCATTCAGGACTTCCTAATGTAAGCAATTAGGAGCTCCTTCCTTCAAGGGTCCCATCAGCAGTTGCAACACATCAGGGAGCCATAAACCACAGGGGCCCCAGAAAGACACAGAGCAAGCTGAGAAGAAAGGGGCAGCGGTAAGGCAAGTGCGCAGAGTGCCAGAGAGGCAGAGCTGACACGGACGGCACCTACAGGATCCCCAGGACTAAGGAGTGACTGCGGGGCAGCCAAGGCCAGCTCGTGTGTTGTAAACAAACAGAAAAGGAGAGGGGTGAGGTGGAGCGAATGTGAGCCCTCCCCCACAGGGCACTGCGGCTGGATGGCACCGCTCCCCCTCCTAGGAGTTTGTTTTGATTTGTTTTGCTTTTTAAGCGGCACCAGCCCAGGATGTACATAGCGCATGCCAAGCCTCCCTTCCCTTCTCCCAAAATCACTGGGGCTACTTTTTCATTAACGGGACAGCACAAGCAATGGACCAGGTCTCTTCCTGGGCACCAAGCCCCCAGGGCGGGCCTCTGTGGCACCCGGAGGCCTTCGCTATCCACCTTCGGTCAAGTTCGAGCTCCAAGACTGGGGTTCTGTGGCAGCTGTAATTATTCCCATCATTCAGAGTTGGGTTGCTTGTCGTTTTGTATGAGAGCCCCCAAAATCTCCACTCGTGGCCTTCAAGCCTTGGTCACCCAGCAAGGTCCTCCAAGGCCCAAGAGATTTCAGGTAGCTTGAGGATAGCACGCCAGCTTGGAAACCACGGCTCCCCACCCCTACCCCCAGCAGGCCCCTTGGCGGACAGGGGCTCCACTAGTCAGGCCTCATGGAACACCGTTCCTGATTAGACTCCAGGCACTCCTGGGGCAGGCTGGGCCTCCCTGTACTTTTCGTTTGCGTCCCCAGGTCGGCCTTGAAGCAATTTGCAAAATAAAGGCGACGGGCATAAGACTTCAGACTGGGAGCTGGCAAATTGCTCTCCCTCTAGGGGAGACCCTTTGCTTCAAAGGACAGACGGCCAAGGGTCTCGGTGTGCAGCCTCTGGTTGCGTGGTCGCAGATCTTAACAGTTAGGGGGCCAGTGGCCACCGCACCTGTGTTACCCGAGTGGCCGGTGCGCTCCTCCCTGGGTCGCGGGCGGAAGGAGGCCCTGGGTGAAGCAAAGAGACTGTCATCCCCTACGCCCTTCCGCAAAACCGAGAAAGAAAACAACTGTCCTTTCGCCTAGCGCACACAGCACGAAGGGTCTGGGAGCTTCAGTGGCAGAAACCCAGCCGGACGAGCAACGCTGCCTGGTTTGGGGGAATGGCTCCCCCGGATGGCTGCCGTGAGTCCTGCCGAAAGGTCCCCACGCCGGCCCCAGTCGCAGCTGGTACAGCCTGGGCGCACGCAGCAGGAGGAGGACTGGATCGCCCCCTTCCCCGCCTCCCACCCCGAGGCGGGCCTGCGCGTGGGTGCCGGCCAAGCGACAGCGCTGGGGAACGCTGCCGGAAGTGCGGCGAGATAGGCCAAACGCCGTGGCTGTGCCCCTGTAACGACATGACTTGAAGAAGTCACCTAACTTTTGTGTGCCTACTTAAGTGCAAACGGGTGACACACCAGGCTTGGGTGAGAAGGCGAGGCCCCTGGCACAGCCTCAGCGTTGGCGCGGGTGGCCCTTCTCAAGGGTAAATGCGTTCGCCTGGGCTCGGTGATGGAGAAGGGGTGCACTGCCCAGGAGGTTGTACGTTTTAATCCGGAGCGAGCTTTACCGTTTAACCCTGGGGCAGGTGGGCCCGGTGTGGCCAATTGTGGGCCCAGCAGCTGGATTCCAATCTCCCCCGCAGCCGGTTATGGAGTTATGGAAATGAATAATCCAGCCAGCTCCCCTCCCCCCAGCTGTCCTCAGCCCCACCCCCTCCTGGCTTTCCTTCTTTCCCAGGAACGAGAAATCCACAAGTTTTTACTTGGCGATTCGAAGGGGAGGGGTGGTGGGCGTGCATGATTCCTAGGCGACTCCTTCCCTCCTCTCCCCCCCCCCAAAAAAAAATCACAGTCGAATCTCTGAGCAAGAGAATGAGGAGGCCCTGGTGGTTCAGGAACTTGCAGCCGGTGCTGGTTTAAAACCACGCCACCGATCGCCCTGGAGCGATCAGGGAGCCCGTTTTCAGGATCCGTCAAAGTTCTTCAGTGCCCTTAAGCCGCAGGAGACAGCACCAAGCCCAGATACCGGAGGGGGGCGGGATCTTTCTACAGGTCCACAGCATCGGAGTGGGGTGGTATCCAGGGGGAGGGTATCAACCTTGGGTGCCCCTTCACCGGTCAGCAGGATGCCCGGAAAGCACTTAAGCCAGGGTTATGGTGCACACCCAACACCTCTCACGCAGCGTTTGAATGACTGCTGCTCCCGTAGCTAAGACGGGGCAGGTACCAGACGCGCGGAGAGGCAGGTAAGCAGGGATCTCGGCGCGTAAAGCACAAACGGCAAGATCCTTCCTCGGCGCGAGAGGCAGACACGCTGCGGATCACAAGGCCAAAGCCAACAGCAGGAGCGAGGCGAGCCCAGGTGTAGGCAGGCGCCGCGGCAGCCCCACGTGGAGCGCAGTTGTCTGCCGAGGTGGACAAGCAGCGGTGGTGCGCGCAGGCCAGGCCACCGAGCGTCGGGCTTGCGGGAGCCCGTCACTGGAACTGCGTTCTTCGCCCTCGCCCCCTGCGGGAACTGTTCTCTGCCCGCTACACCTCACGGCCCCAGCCACTGGCTCGTCCAGCAAGCGCCACCATGCCACTGTGCACGCGCGATAGGAGGGTCACTGGCTGGAAACGGAGGGAAAGGGAACCGGGCGCGACCCTGCGTGAGAACGTTGCAACCTGGGGTTGAGCACAGGTGACGCGGCTGCATCCACGCGTGTCAGGGTGGGACACTGCGCGCTGCGGGGATGGGGGAACCCCAACTGGAGTCGCGGCGCCCTCTGGCGGCCAACAGGGCCGCAGCGCTCCTCCAAACAAAGCCGCTCCCGGGGGTTGGGGGGACCACAGGGGAGGGCGTAGTGATGGGGGCACCCTGAGCTCACCCCGGCCCAGAGTCCCAACATTTATCAGAACTCGGGCTGTGAATCCGCCCTTTGGTTCGAGGTGCTTCTGTTGCCTCTGTGGTTGGTTTGCAAAGAAGCTTGTGTTGGAGGAGGGGGTGGCTTGGAGAGTTTGGGGGACCCTAGGTGCACGCCCCAAGAGCCATGGTGAGGAAAAGCGCCCCTAGGTGGCCGCTCCTGGTGCTGAGCTGGCAGAGCACGCGCGTCCAAGAAAGAAAGATGCAGCGCCTTTGGCAACCGTGGTTCCTGCAATCCACAAGGCGTCCTCTTTTTCCCCCTTCCCCCACTCCCCGCTTCCGCCTCTAAGTCCCTCAGGCCGGAGTGTTCAGGCCCGGGGAAGGACCCGAGGTCCCCCAGACGTTAACCCCCTCCTATGCGCCAGCGGGCTGGAGTCTGAGATTTGGGGAGGGTGGAGGGCAGGGGCTGCGCAGGCCGCTGCATCTTCCGGAAGGAGAAGGACTTAGGGGAAAGGCGCTCGGCGGAGGCTGGGTGGCCAAGAAGGAATCACAAAGTGCCCATATTACATGTGAAAGAGTTTCCATCTCCGGGGGTTATCTGACTCTGTGGCTTCCCCACTACCTCCCGCGGAACTTGGGGCGATTAGGGAAAGGAGCACCTGCACCCCCTCCTCCACCACAACACACACCCTCGCCTGGTACACTCCCCTCCCCTCTCCTGGTCCCCCACTCCCGGCAGTAAGCCGTGAACTTACTGTCTGTAGTCCTCAAAGCCACGCGAGCCCCAGTTCCCCGGAGAGCAGAGGCCGACCTTGAGTGTGTGCGCTCCCGCACGCCCGGCGCCCAGCTCGGCCACCCCGGGTTACCCATGGGACGGAGGAGGCACTGCTGCCGAGGGAGGCCACGCCTGGCCCCTTCGTGGAGCTCTGGGCAGCCCTCCCTTCTGTCGTCGCCCCTTCGCAGTCTAGCACATGCTCTCCCAGGGCCTGGTACCGGCCACCAGCCCGTCCCCAAACCCGGACCGAGAGCCACCCACCCTGCGGCCCTGCGTGGAAAAGGGGTGGGGACGCTTTGCCGAACGCTGGCAGGGGTAGCGGCTCGGGGAACTGAGTCATCGCCCCCTTCGTGGAAGAGGGCAAAGACTTCAGACACGTTCGTTTCTGCAAGGGCCCGAGCCCCTCCAACACGTTGCGCCAGTATTTCATTGTTCCCGCGCTTAGTGCAGAAGGCTGTTCCCAAGGCCCTGAGCAAAAGGAAACGGAGGGCTCAGGGTGGGGGAGTGGATCCCACTGGGCCCAAGCTGCCGAACTTGCCGGGAAACCAAGCTGGCGAAGGCTCCGAATCCGCCCCTACCCCCACCGGGCACAAAGAGCACGCGGGGACCGCCCGGACCCTGGCTCTGGGGTTCTCGGTTCTGTGCCACAACACGGCGGCGCGAGCGGACCCCACGGATTTGGGGCCCAGGTGGGGATGCAGCTGCGCTGTGTGTGTGTGTGTGTGTTGGTACTCTTGCCAGGCCTGCCTGGAGGGCGCGGGGGGTGGGGCGGGGACGCAGTCGGAGAGGGGGGCGCGGCCCGAGCCTCCCGGTGGAAAACCCGCCGGAGAAGCAGTGACCAGCCCCCTCCTCGGATTACTTGCCTCTGGCTCCTCCCCTGCCCCCTCCCGCGTCCCCCCACCTCCAGATTTGCATAAAAAAGGCCAAGAAAACTCTGGCTGCGCCCCAGCCCGCGGCTCACTCTGCTCCCCCGGGTCGGCGCCCCTCGGAGCCTAGCCTGCGCCGTCCAGCCGCAGCCTCTCTGCACGGCCGCTGGCCGCCAAGAGCATCACCACCTTCCTCCGGATCCGGAGCTCCGGCTCTGGCCACCTCGCGCTTCCCCGGCTCCCTCTGCCGCCCCGGCCCCCGAAGGGTCACGCGACCACTATGCCGCAGGGCCCCGGCTCGCTGCTGCTGCTTGTGCTCGCCTCGCACTGCTGCCTGGGCTCGGCGCGCGGGCTCTTTCTCTTCGGCCAGCCCGACTTCTCCTACAAGCGCAGCAACTGTAAGCCCATCCCGGCCAACCTGCAGCTGTGCCATGGCATCGAGTATCAGAACATGCGACTGCCCAACCTGCTGGGCCACGAGACCATGAAGGAGGTGCTGGAGCAGGCGGGCGCCTGGATCCCACTGGTCATGAAGCAGTGTCACCCGGACACCAAAAAGTTCCTGTGCTCTCTCTTCGCCCCCGTCTGCCTCGACGACCTGGACGAGACCATCCAGCCGTGCCACTCGCTCTGCGTGCAGGTGAAGGACCGCTGCGCGCCGGTCATGTCAGCCTTCGGTTTTCCCTGGCCGGACATGCTTGAGTGCGACCGCTTCCCCCAAGACAACGACCTCTGTATCCCTCTGGCCAGTAGCGATCACCTCCTGCCAGCCACCGAGGAAGGTAAGCCTATCCCTGCCAGCCTGGTGATGTGGGAGCCCTCAGCCCCCACCTCCCCAACCCGGCCCACTCCCAAGGAGCAGGGGGTGGAGTAGGCGTCCCCGACAGGGCTACGCCGTCCCTGCCCTGGCACCCTTGCCATCTTGATTGGAATGTGAACCATTCCGCCCACCCACCCCTAAGCTCCTATTCTCCCACGATGCTGGGGAGTAGGCTTTTTTCTTTTTTTAAGCAAACAAGGAGGGGCCAGAGGTGGCTTCTCTCCTTAGCCGGTTCTGCTCCAGCTGCTGGTTCCGGGCCCTCACTCCGCAGTGCATGCGCGCCGGTCTAGGAGCACCGGGCAGAAACTGCTCTCACCCACGACGCGCCACCCGCACGGTTTCTTGGCACTGCATAGCATTTCCCATGAGGTGTACACACAGATAAGCCTTGAAAACTATTTCTCTTGGGTTTGATCTTGTCCTCTGCCAAAATGTGTTTCCCAGCACTGGCCGGGAGTGTGTGCGGAAAATGAGTTGGTGATAACCGCTAGGTGCTGGGGAGAGCGGGCCCTACAAGAGACCCCCGCGGGAACCTCCAACACTATCAACTTTTATCTTAGGAGTGGTTTAAATTAACTGGAGAGGGGGAAAAACATGCAAAAGAGAATTTCCCGAGTTTTGTGCTGTTTTTTTTTTTTAAGAGGGGGAGTTCCTGTGCAAAAACCATCAAAGCAATGAAAACCTCATGGGCTCTTGCTATTCCCCCCCCCCCAAAGGAAAACATATACAATGTGTCTGAGCTGATTTAAGTCCCCCTGGGATACAAAGGGGGCTCCCTAATCCCGTTCAGGGCTTCCATTGCATCTCCCCTTCCATCTCTAATTGTTTTCCTACAGACATCATTAGCTAAAGAAAATGCATAGTTATTTAGCAATCTTTCCTGGCAGGCACCATGAGTTTGCAATCATCTTATTGGTTAGATTTCTAATTTATTGCAAATGTTTGGCATTTTTCAGACATTTGTCCAACATAAAGCATAGGCCAACAAGTACAGGTTAGTAACATTTTATATACCTTCTTAAGGCTCCCAATTAAACAAGTTTCATTTTGTTTGGGTAAGGAGCCTTCAGGGCTGCTCTATGTGTGTGTTTCTGTTGCTTTCCCCCCCCCTTCTGCTGTTTACACTCAACATTTCTCCCCCAAAGTCTCTTTGCTCCTGCAAAATAAAGGTTTATGTTATTCAAAATCTACTCTTTGCAATTTTTTTTTCCTGATTGGATACATAACTTCCAAGTCACAAAGTTTTCTTTGTGAAAATTCAGTTTTATATCTGTGGATAAGAACTCATTTCACCAACATTTTTTTTAAACTACTCATTTACAAATGAGAGAAACAGAACATTTCCTTTTTCCTTTTTCCCTCCTCCCTAACGCTGCCACCCCAAAAAAAGAGAAACATCAGACTCATTTAGAAAAACTTTCAGTAGACTGTACTTATGGGCATCACCTAGTTTTGCTCAACCTCAGGGATGTGATTGATGAGCCTCAAGAATAAGTTTGTGTTTCCTTTTAGAATTTGAAATAGGTATTAAAAAAAAAAAACACGGTGGGTGGGGGGAGGGCAAGTAGAACCTGGAGCAGGGAACATGCAGATAACCAAGAAATAAATACTGCCTAATCCAAGCCCAGGTTTGGCAGAAAGCACCCAGGGATGTGGACCCCCATGGGGCAGGCTGCTGTGAGCAACACAACATCAGCACCAACACCCCCTCCCAGACCAGACTTCAAAACACATTCAGTGAAGATGCCAGGGAGCCCAGAACACTGACTGTCCAGAAAACAACAGTCCCTCGGCTTAGGTTCAGGTTTCCTCAATCCTCTGCTCTCCCCCACAAGGATCTCTAACCTTGGAGTGCCTTCTCCCTAGACAAGGAGGAGGATGAACTAGACAGCTGTACCCTGTCCCAGGTAACCATGGCTACACACCATCATCATATTCTCCCCAGCTCACCTGCCCCCATCCCTTAGCTGGGAGTCATTCTTAGATAGAAGATAACAATTTCATTATTTTACCCGAACTGACAAGGTCCTACCCTGGCAGAGAGTGTCCTGGCCTAGATAAGCCTCTCTGAGTTGTCTGCAAATGCCACTTGCTGATTCTTTACTCAAGAATGTTCTTCACATTTCTAGCTCCAAAGGTATGTGAAGCCTGCAAGAACAAAAATGAAGATGACAACGATATAATGGAAACTCTTTGTAAAAATGACTTCGGTAAGTACCCCACAACACTGATGACAGGTTTCACATGCCAGCCTGGTCTTGGCCACTAAAAAGTAAAGGGGACGCAGCCTGAAGCTGTTAGTCGGTAAAGGTAAATTATAATCCTGGCTCATGTTTTCTAAACTCATCTCCTGTCGGGTTCTACTTCCATCCTCATTACACTGATCGGAATCGAGTTTTACTTGCTGAGAGCCATTCTTGTTTTAAGCAGTCATCACACCTTGTACCATCATCTCCTCAGCTACTTTTCAGGTGCACGAGGGTGGAAATATTAAAAGGAGTATTCACAAAAGATTCAGATTGGCCACTCACAAAAAAAAAAAAAATTCCTCTGGTATCAGGATCACAGTAAAAGAAATACCCCCAATGAAACAGTTAAATACATCGTAACAGAACAGGGTACTAGATATTATGTCTTTGCCTATGTCTCCAATGTCATGATACACTTAAATAGCAGAATGTCAAACTCATAACTGTTAAAAAATTCCCACTACTTTTACTTGATCCATAGCCATTATGATTCGATCCTCAGTGTTCCCCAGTAGTGAATATGCAAAGCACTGGGTAATCACCTGTAAGCTAGGCTCCTGGAGTATAGAAGGAAGAATGGTTTACTGATAAGACTTTTGTACCACCTCAAAACACCACTTTAAACTGCTTTTTAAATGTAGTCTTTTTTATGAAGTCTTGTGAACAAGTCTAGATGTGTTTGCCATTGTTTTGTGTATTCGTTGAGACAAAACTCTTAGAAATTTACTTTGGCAACTTGTCATGATGACTTGGTGCTTGGAGACAGTGGAAACATGTGTGATACATTGCCCACGTTCCATTGAGTGTTTTGAGGGTAATTCGGAATTCAGAAGGTTTGTAGCACATGGAATTGAGAGTAAGTTTTACCTGCAACAAGGCATTTTGAAATCCATTCATATGAGGGGTCTTCAAAAAGATCATGGAAAATATACATTATGGGGGGAAAAAACGATACATTTCAAAAAATTGGGGACCAAAGTAAACTTTTTCAAGAGGCAGAGATACAGAGAGAACTTTGCTCCTCAAGTTTGCTCCCTACATACCTGCAAAAGCCACAACTCAGCCAACCTAATGCCAGGAGCTGACGGCTCGGTGCAAATCTCCCACCTGGGAGCGAACTCAGGCACTGCCATTGTCACCTCCCGGGCTCTGCACAGGCATCTGGAGCCAGCAGCCAGAGCAAGACTCCAACCAAGCATTCTTCTTATGGGGTGTGGGTAACCCAAACACTATGCCAAAGGCCTGCCCCTCATGCTTATTTTAAATCCAAGTTTCCATGGAAATAAGACACTCCCTTGAAGACAGGGTGGTAAGTGGGCAGGAACTAGGGCCTTTGTTGGCCCAGGAGTCTTCCAGCAGTACCCCCTCTACTGTTCTCAAATTCCCAGATGAAGGAGCTTGGTTAGACACAGATGAGTATGAAATTCAGAGCTGACCAGACTCCTAAGATGTTCTTTTGCATCAAGCCTGTTGCGAGGCAGGCACCTGTTGGTGTGTTAGCAGGGTTGGTACCTCTTCAAAGGATTTATTCAAACTAAAGATTGAACTCTTTGGGAGACAGAGAGATAGCCCCTGCCTATCGATCAATAACAGACCCCAACAGCCACATGAACATTTCTACTTATTTGGCAAAGCCCAGTCTGCTGCCCAACAGCCCCAGGTCTTCTCCAGCAGGTCCCTGGCTGGTCGCAGTACCATCGTGGTCGCAGTGTGTGGAAAGACTTCACACTGCTGAAAAGGAGAAAGAGAGGAGGTAGCTCAAAGGTTAAACCAACCCTTCTAGAGCCACAAGAGTAGAGGGGGGAGGGCTGAAAGGGTTTTTTGTGTCTGCATTTATAATTCAAAATAGCTGAGAGCCAGATGTGTAAGCAGCAGATAATGCCAAGCCAACAGAGCCTCACTAACACACAGGGTTAGGGTTAACAGCACTAAGTGTCCCGTCTTCTTAGAGAAAGCCTTGCGAAGCAACGAAGCAACATTGAAGTCGTTGTACTTAAGGGGTCTTGTGTACAATGTTATTTTCTTATCTTCCCACTCACCTTTTGACCCATAAGAGGACAATGAATCTGAATTTCAGGAAGCAGACCATAGACGCTTGTGGCATAAACAGTATTCCATACTGTTTCTCTTTCTTAGGAGGTAATGGAGGGACAGAAAGAACAAGTGTAGCCATTGGATTTATTTATTTAATTTAAATCATGCAAACAGCATCCCACTCTTCCTAACTGCATGCTTAAAACACGGGGAGGGATGCAGACCATCTCCTTACCTCATGGGTGCAAGTTCTGGTGAATAAAGAAGGGCTTTGAATGATGTTCCCATGCATACAGCCCATGGCTGGACCCACGAGTACTATCACCTGTGCCTGCTGCTACATCCTGCATCCCAGTCACGTCTCCCACAGTGGGAAAGCTTAGGCTGGGGCCTTGGGTCACTATGGTTGGTCCAAGCTACAAATTCAAGAAGGAAGTCCCTGATGTTTTGCCATGGTGGGTGATTGCAGAGTTATTTTAGAACGGGAAAGGAGGAAGAAAAAGAGAGGGAATGTAACCTTCTGGTTAAAATGGAGTTCTGTGATGCATGGAGCACCGGAATATTCCATGTCACTCAATGAAATTATGTCTCCCAAAAGGATGGGGTATACTGGCACAGCATGCCCTGTGCAGAGGCCACAAGAACATGGGACATGTATACCCAGTTTGTTCCATGGCTTATCAACTCAGAACTCAACACTGAGGGTCAGATGTATATCCTAAGACAAAAGTATGGTTGGCCCAGGCACCACATCTTTGATGTACCTGATTTGTGTCATTTGCTAGTTGACTGCAAAGCGATCCTTAATCAGATTCCCCTCTGAGATGGTAAAGAAAGGCCCAGAGAGTTAGACATACGTACACACAAGTCCCCCTGGTACCGGGGTAAGAGTTCATGAAATCCTGCCCGAGTCAGAAGGCCACACTTACACATAATTTCCACAGAGCAGCTCCCAGTGGCCCTGACGTTGGGCAGGTGACCATTATGAGGGAGGTGAGGGTGGACAGTACCTCAAGAGATCAAAAGTGGTGTCCTTGGAGCTCAATCCAACCTCATCTATTGTACTCAACTTTTCTGGATTTGCAAGCAGAGGACTTATGGAAATGATCCCTTTCAACCCAAAGATTCTATCCTTTCCCACCTTCATGGATTTCCTGAGATTTAATCCCAGCCTGTATATGTACAGGACTTTGGGAGGTTGATTTTGTTTTGCTTTGTTTTCCAAAAGCACGCTGTTCATGTCTACACAATGTGTCTTTAATAGTAAAACACTTAGCTTTTGGTCTTTACATACTAATGAGTCGACATATACATTTTTGGAAACCACATATATGTGATGTGTAAATGCCTTGGCCTTGGATAGGCAAATGAGAGCATGTGAGGATGAAGTCTTCAGAAAAACACTTTTATGGCTAAACATGTTGTGCTCTTAAAAAAAGAAACTTGCCTATTTTTTTTTCCCTCCTAGTTACTTTACAAAATCAAATGCAGCTGTAAGATCAATTCTCTTTCCCTGTAATCTGTTCCTTAGAAAACAATGATTGTGTGATACAATTCCCTTACAGGTTTGTCCAAAAACCTCTCCCACATAATAAATGGAGTTTCAAGTTTACAGCCACAGAAGGATCGGGTTTCACCCAAGAGTCAGGCATTCTTTTCAAGCTGAAGTTTCCAATAGGGGAAGTCATTTGTTGGGGAGAGCGCCACCAGCGCGCAGCCTCCCGAGGAACACAGGGCTACAAGAGAAGAAAACCCTAAGAGGGCCTGGCGAATACTTGGAGGCTTTGTAGCCATCAAGCCCACCCTCGGCTTACGGCCCCGGACAGTCTCATTAGCAGCAAGTGGGGCATCTAAGCCACGCAGTGGGGGGAGGGGACACGGGCAGCTGGCACTGCAGGCCCTCCCTCTCTAACTGGTGTGATTCTCTCTGCCCCCTGTCTTGCTAGCGCTGAAAATAAAAGTGAAGGAGATCACCTACATCAACAGAGACACCAAAATCATCCTGGAGACCAAGAGCAAGACCATTTACAAGCTGAACGGCGTGTCCGAAAGGGACCTCAAGAAATCGGTGCTGTGGCTCAAAGACAGCCTGCAGTGCACCTGCGAGGAGATGAACGACATCAACGCCCCCTATCTGGTCATGGGACAGAAACAGGGCGGGGAGCTCGTGATCACCTCGGTGAAACGGTGGCAGAAGGGGCAGAGAGAGTTCAAGCGTATCTCCCGCAGCATCCGCAAGCTGCAGTGCTAGGCCTGCGTGTCCGCAGCGCCTCCGACACGCCAGCTTGGCTCACCGCATCAGCTTGCACTCACACAGGTCCGGTTGCCCAAGTACAGTCCCAGCGGCCGCGGTGGCGCCAGCCCCAGCCTAGGGCCACCTGCGTCCCCCTGCCTGTCGCACATCCCCAGGATTCCCTGAGCTGTAAAGCCCCAAGAGGCCTCAGGAAAGAAAGGTTGTCTACTCAAACCTTCTAGAACCACCCAAACGAATAAAGCCATCAATATTTTTATGAAGTTCTAAAATGGCTCACGTTAAAGCTAGTGTTGAGTAGGTCCAATGAGGACTTGGCTCTGAATTTTTTTTTTTTCCAGTTTGGATTGAGTCAACAGATGTTCGCTTCCTATGAAGGGTACCCTAGCTGGCACATTGATCTATTTTTTTCCTGTGGCCCAAACCTGTGGGTCACAAGCAAAGCCCCGTTGAGATAAAGCTGGCTGTTATCTCAACATTTTCCCTGCTTCAGGCCTGAGACTCAAGCTCTAAGTTTTAGAACAATCCGTGTGTCATTTACAACTTAAACCGGTGCCTGTATCACATTCCAGCTATAGCAGTACCACTTATGAGAAATACACTAACCGTTCCTTGCAATAAAGGGCAAAACAAATAAGTGTTATCACTGATCTGAGTACTTTTAAACCTAGTTTAAGACATTTTTTTTACTTACGTTTTGCAAATTAAACTTTTATAGCTTATCTGTAATATACATGGTAGTTGACCTTAAAAAGTTGTAAAAATATTGCTTTAACCAACATTGTAAATATTTCAGATAAACATTATATTCTTGTATATATAAACTTCCTGTTTTACCTAGTCCTTGTCTTCTGTCTTTGTCTCCCTAGTAGGCGTGGGAGGGCCCCGCAGCTGAGCACTCACTTCTGGGGGAAAATGGGTTTGTTGCTCAAGGGACTCAGAAAAGTCTCCCCCACACACCCCACCCATGTGCCTGTCTCGTATCTCATTGGCTTGGAAAACCCTGTGGGAAGCAGAGAGCAGCAAGTTCCAACCAGGGTTGCCTCTTTTTCATCTCCATATGCAGCAGAGTACCTGGGTCCATGAACTTTAGAAGCTCTGCTGCTCCTTCCCTCCGATCTTTGCAATGAAAAAAAATAACCCTTGCAAAAATGTTAACTCCTTCCCCAAAATGAAACACTGACCCTCAGGTAAAGGCAGCCAGGACTGGGAGAGATTCACTGAAAGGAAGGCAGTGGGGAGGGAGTAGTGAAAAACTAGCATGGGTAACAAGGAAGACAGGCACTCCACACGTGCTGGCTTGGTCCACTGCTGCTGCTGTAACTACCACTCTGGATAGTTCATGAATCACTAGCAAGTTATTTCTCACAGTTCTAGAGTCCACGAGCGGCCAGCAGAGGGCGGTGTCTGTTGAGGGTCCGTCCTCTGCATTGTAGATGGTAGGTGCCTTCACCCGGCAGAAGGGTCAAACAAGCTCCTTGGGTCTCTTAAAAGGATGCTATTCCTGCTGCAAGGATTCTGTCCTCACTGAAACTCCAACTCCTTTTGGTTTTTTTCCCCCCAAGATTTATATTATTTTTATTTGAAAGGCAGATTGACAGAGAAAGAGAGGTCTTTTATCTGCTGATTCACTCCCTACATGCTCCCCATGGCCAGAGCTGAGCTGATCAAAAGCCAGGAGCCAGAGGCTTCCTTCATGCAAAACGCTTCTTCGATTATGGGACCACCACAGAAAATGTACTGGATATACAAGGAAAAGCAACTCAGGGAGAGCAGTCAGCATTGGTGCACACCCCAAGTGTCAGCCAAGACTGGAGCAGGTGCGACAGCTAACAAGTCTGCTTCTGTTCTACTTCCAAGCAAACCACAGAAACATCTTCACACATACACACCCTTCCAGCAAACAGGCCTTGCTCTTGCAAAGCTTACCTGGGTGACTGAATGTAAATAGCCACAGTTATAATCTGCTGTATCTGATAAGCTACATAAAGTCAGAGAGTGGCTAATGAGTGAGCGTGGCAGTTTTCCCATTTGAAATTGTCACTGGTGTTCTCGTGATCCTTTCTCTTACCCAAGCACTAGCCAGGCCCGATCCTGCTCAGCTGCTGAGATCAGGCAAAATCAGGTCTGTTCAGGATGGTATGGCAGCAGACTCCTGGGCTTCTTTCTCTGATGGCATTTTAGAGCTGAGTTGGAAAGCTTTGTGAGCACACATCATGCATGCAAAGCCCTTCAAATCTTCCAGCATGAAAAGTTAACAGAGTCCACTGGCTGGGCAGTAGACTTCAGGTAGCTCCTTTTGTTTTCCTTGGCACTTTCACTGGACTCCACTTTTGCTCCCACAAGGCACCCCTACACTATAAGGGAGGGACTTTTGGGCCAAGGCCAGCACTCACTTTAGACATTTGAAAAGGGACAACATTAGGGACACTGGAAAAGGTGGAGTGGGGGAGTGATGGGGAGCAGTAAACCACGCATTCGGGACTCAGGAGAGTGAAGCAACAATACAAAACATCAGCACCAATGGAAAGATGCCACCTGGGAGAAACCCACCTGTCCGAAAGCCTTCTCCTTAGCCAAGCCAAGAGGCAGGTGCTTGCCTAATGAGATGCAGCTCTGGAGGCAGACTCCTTCGGCTGTGTTCGTTCAGCTGTGGACTCAGGCTACCATCTGCTTCTCCTGATGAGCTTTCCGAACTGCCCTCCTCACCTCCACTTCCCATCTTTAATGAGCTGTGAGCCAACGTCACGTGCTTGGGACACAGCAGGTAGATCTCGGCTTGCTTTTTCATTTTTCTCTCATTGTTTGGTTTGCCATAGTGGTTCAAATGTACATGGCTTATTTGTTCTCAAAGTAATCGTGATGTGATATTAGCAATGATCTTTTCAAACATGAGATTTCTTTTGCAGGTCAATGAAAAGTGAATTTCACCCACTACCAGGAAAAGGAAGCAAATAGAGCAACCTGGCTTTCTGAGCCTAACAGGATTCGTGTTCCATCAACAAAACTAAATGCCCCAAGCAAGGAGCTGCTTAGAAAAGTTAAAGGGCACTAAAGGATATATTTCCTATGCATTTAATCTCCTTTTTTTTTTTCAGATTCTCTTCCTTTTAATTGCTTGATAAATGACTGTTTTAAAAAGAAGAAATTCTGAACCCTGCACGGTGGCCTAACAACTAAAGTCCTCACCTTGAATACAACGGGATCCCATATGGGCACCAGTTCTAATCCCAGCAGCCCCACTTCCCATCCAGCTCCCTGCTTGTGGCCTGGGAACGCAGTCGAGGACAGCCCAGTGCCTTGGGACCCTGCAGCTGCGTGGGAGACCTGGAAGAGGCTCCTGATTTCAGATTGGCTCAGCTCCAGCCGTTGCAGTCACTTGAGGAGTGAATCATCGGATGGAAGATCTTTGCCTCTCCTCCTCTCTATATATCTGACTTTGCAATAAAAATGAATCTTAAAGAAGAAATTAAATGAGTAAGAGGTTTGACCCAAAGGACAAAGGCTCTGCCCCCATACACAAAGCTGTGTGATAAAAATCACAGGATTAAAAAGGATCTGTTTTATTGCAAAATATCCTCCAGTCTTTGTTACTTATCCTCTCATCAACTGCTAACTCGGCTGGATTTTACACCTTTCAGTTCTCAATGTTATTGACAGAGGGTTACATTGAAAAGCCAATCCAGGGGGCATGCATTATGGTACCACCTGTTAAGTTACCATTCATAGTGTCAGCATCCTGTATCAAAGTGCTGGTCCAAGTCTCAGCTTCTTCACTTCCATCCTAACACCTTACTAAGGTACCCAAGAAAGCAGCAGAGGATGGCCCAAGTTCTTGAGCATCTGCTACCCATATGGGAAACTGATAGAGTTCCAGGCTCCTGGCTTTGACATGGCCCAGACTTGGCTGTTACAGCCAGTTGGAAAGTGAATCAACAGACAGAAGATCTCTGTGTTACTTGGCCTTTCAGCTAAATAAATTTATTTTATTTTATTATCATTTGTTTAATAATGATTACATGGTTGATCAGAGTGGGAAGGATCAAGATTTAGGGAAAATTGGGTGAACTCATTGCTTCCAAATTTGCCCTTTCTTCTTGTTCCTGGAGGAATGGCGAGACAAAGGGGAAAACCACTCATGACTTTCCACATGTTCTGGTACCCAGGGATGAGGAACTGCTACCTCGTATCAACCCAGAGTCTCAATGTGTACATATTCCGAGGGTTCTGTCCAAGTGGTTTGGATAGTTCTGAAATGCTGCCAATTTCACCGATCTAAGGATGATGTCACCCTCCCAATGTCCATTGGCTCCATTTACCGAGATTTTTTTGCTGTTATCGTTTGTTTGGGGTAGTTGGTTCTGTTCTGCTACAGCACCAAATGTGCTGCCATATTAACCTTTTACAACAGGGCCTGTGTCCACTACATTTTTATTATCTAGGGCACGTTCTTGTAGGCGAGTCCAAGTGGCTGGCCCAGGTGTTCCAAGCATCACCGAATTCCCCACCCCTGGGGCACACAAACTTGACATCTACCTAGTAGGCAGGCCTCAGGACCCGGGACAGGAGACCCAAGCCCTGCTGGACTCCCCACCCCTGGGGCTCATAAACCACATCCACCTCGAAGCTAAGCCGCAGGACCCAGGCCAAGTGACCTGAACCCACCAAATCCCCCACCCCTGGGTTTCATGAACCTGGCACCCACCTAGTAGGAGGGCCCTGGGACCCGGGCCAAGCCTCACCAGATCCCCCATCCCTGGGTCCTACGAACCCAAGACCTACCTAGTATGCAGGCCCTTGAACCTGGGCCAGGAGACCCAAGCCCTGTCAGATCCTCCACCCCAGCGTTCACAAAACTAATACCCACCTAGAAGCTGAGCCCTAGGATCTGGACCAAAGTACCCACATCAGTTTCCCTGAGCTCAGGAACCCATCCGCACCACACATGTGGGCCCCATAACCTGAGCCAAGCTACCCAAGCCCTGTCAGATCTTCTGCTT